CGAACCACCAAACCAATGAACCACCAAACATTGAACCATCAAATCAATGAACCACCAAACCAATGAACCACCAAACCAATAAACCAATAAACCACCAAACCAATAAACCACCAAACCAATAAAACTTCAAACCAATAACCACCAAATCAATGAACCACCAAACCAATGAACCACCAAACCAATGAACCACCAAACCAATAAACCACCAAACCAATAAACCACCAAAACCATAAACCTTCAAACCAATAAACCACCAAACCAATAAACCACCAAATCAATGAACCACCAAACCAATGAACCACCAAATCAATGAACCACCAAATCAATGAACCACCAAACAATGAACCACCAAATCAATGAACCACCAAACCAATAAACCACCAAACCAATAAACACCAAACCACCAAACCAATAAACCACCAAACCAATAAACCACCAAACCAAAACCACAAAACCAATAAACCACCAAACCAATAAACCACCAAACCAATAAACCACCAAACCTTATGAGTCTCAGTGTAATTATGACGCCATTTTGAACATCATTCCTTCGAGTTTTGGGTCAAGTCAAACCATTCCCAACACATCATTACGTCTCCAATTACGAGGAAAAGTTAACGAACGAACCTTAGGTAATATGTAAACAGGTGTACAGTGTAGGTTAATTGATCTTATAATGAACAGGTAGACCAAGACGCCAGAGTTACTACACTACTGGTTACTATTTCAGGTGGTTTTTCCGGGAGTGACGGTGAGGGGTAGTGGGATGAGTGGGGGGTTGGGGAGTGGGATGAGTGGCGGGGGGTTGGGGGAGTGGGTGGGTGGTTGGGTGGGGGTTTGGGGCTTAGTTATTGTCCCAGCTAAATTATGGAGGGGTAGGGGGTGGGGGGTGGGGTGGAGAGTGGGGTTGGGGTGAGGGTTGGTAGTGTGTTGTGGAGTGGAGGTGGAGGGGGTTCAGTTAGTGTCTCTTCTGGATTATAGGATAATATTAAGAATATTTTGTAATTGTAGTTGCTGTTGTGCTTCCTCCAATCTACGCTGTCAGAAGTATGGTGTGTGTGTGTGTGTGTGTGTGTGTGTGTGTGTGTCTTGGTAACTTAAATATTAGTCTTAACACCATTCAATAATAATAATAATAATAATAATTATAACAAATATATAAATTAATAATTCTAACACACAACAAAATGCTGGTTATTGATATAAAATGCAACAAGAGTAAAAACAGCCCCACCAACCTACCCCGGCCAGGGAGCCCGGCTATAATTCCGCTACAACTGTTATACACATATTGACGCCTGGCGGCGTGAATTATGCTCGTAAATAAATAATTCAGTTATATATATTGCCGCATATCTCTACCTAGAGACAAACAGCGAGAGAGTAGTGAACAGCTGACAGCGGTGGCGGATTTTACAAGCGGGATCACTTCCACTCACTAGCGAAAGGGCGCCATGCTGGCTCATATTTAAGTTGGCAGGCAGACACACATCACCTCCCGCCACCACCACCACCACATATTCCCCAGCATTTTAGCAACAATTGGGAACTGATTGGCGGGTCATAAATGTCTTCATACACGAGTAAATACTAATTGATTAATCATATCGGGCAAAAAATAAAACTACGGCCATTACCGTCATAAATGAGTTAATGCCCCACACCGCTGATAATGTCAGTCACGCGGTGTCGATACTACAAGCAGGGAATTATGTATCAGCGACACACACGCCTGAATATTTTACACGTAAATGAAATATTGGAAGGTGAAGCCACGTGATAATCTTCTCACGGCAAAGATCAGGCCGAGGAGCGTCCTGTAAACACATCCATCACCACGATGACAACACCGCCACAACACCTCGTTATTGGGATAAAAAATATTAATTGGTAACTCGTACATTACAGGCTGCCAGAGGTACAATAAACAGAGCCGGCGTGTGATACTGTTATATTATATAACTATTTCTAGCTTGTTGGTTTACACACACACACACACCTATACTCTCGTGTGTGTGTGTGTGTGTGTGTGTGTGTGTGTGTGTGTGTGTGTGAGTGTGTGTGTGTGTGTGTGTGTGTGTTATATTTAGGTGACCTGACCAAGGACAGCCACCAGATGGTATTTTCCAGTCTTGTCCTTTAGTGTAAATACCAACAGTGTGTGGTGCTCCAAACACTGACCAGACGAGCGGCGGTGTTATCAACCTGGTGTGGCCACAAAATGACAGTAATTAGACAGTATTTGAGACGACTGGACAAGTACCGGTCAGACTAAGCTGGCCCCCACAGGTCCTGTAGAGACAAGGTAACACAGTGAGGTGAGCCAAGTCTTCCATACACAAGGAAGACCTGACCACACTGCACTTGACCGCCTTCATTTCCCCAATTACATAGTTAGGTACCCATTCACAACTGGGTAGGCTTGGGGTACCCTGGGTGAGAACCAGTGATCATTATGGACAGGAGGCGAGCGTTGTATCCACTTGGCCACCTTTAATAATAATCTCAATGAAAGAAATGTAATGACAGCCACGAGATGTTGTCTTGAGCCATGATGGTGAGAAACACTAATGAGTTTACTGAGCCATTATGTTGAGCTACCCCAGTGCCCCCTGCTGTAGTACACTAACCTCTTCAACACCTGTACGACTGTCTTAGTATTAAAACCAATTCCCTCTTACCCAATCACCTTACGCTCAAGCAGTGACGTCACTCCCACTGAAGAGCCGGCAGTATAAGTCGACCTGACCCTCACACACGGCGTCACGAGAGGTCATGGCGGACACCACTAAGGCGTCCATACGACTCATGTATTATAAGTTGTTATATATCGTCTAATGAGAAACTAACGACTATGATTTATGAACAATATTTAAATAGATGTTCTTAATGTTGCATTCTTTATTAATATCAGCTTTAATTAACGAGGCTTAAAGTGATAAAATTCGACCTGTCTTTAATAATATGATAAACGACCACCTGTCTCACCATTCCCCCCTCTCCTCTCCCCTTCCTTCCCTCCCTCTCCTCCCTCTCTCCCTCTTCCTTTCCTTTTTCCTGCATTCTACCCTTCCCCTCTCCTCTTCTTCCTCCTGCTCGTCTCCTCCCCCTCTTCTCTCCCATTCCTTCCTCTTCCACCCCCTCCTCTTCCACCCCTCCTCTTCCACCCTCTTCCCCCCCCCTCTTCCACCCTCCTCTTCCACCCTCCTCTTCCACCCCCTCCTCTCCACCCCCTCCTCTTCCACCCCCCTCCTCTTCCACCCCCTCTCCACCCTCCTCTTCCACCCCCTCCTCCCCCCTCCTCCTCTCCCTCCACTGACGTCATCAAGCACCTGGGTGTTGGGTTTTTAAGACAGCTTATAATTTCTAATCAAATTTACCCCCAAAAATAAAAAAATAAAAGTGGTGGCATATTTCCTGGTTATATAAGCGTCAGGGTGTGCCATTATCATCAGCCCTGGTCCCTGAAGGCGTGAGTCTTAGATCAGGGTTCACACTCACACTTAACACACTAGATCAGGGTTCACACTTAACACACTAGATCAGGGTTCATACTCACACTTAACACACTAGATCAGGTTCACACACTGGTCATTCCCCTGCTGTCTCACGCCTCTACCCCTAACCAACGCCGACCTATTAACAGCGAACGACACACACACACACACACACAACCCACACACACACACACACACACACACACACACACACCTGCATATGATAAAATTAATAAGGTATTTTAATTACGTGAGGCAAGAGCAGCGCGCCAACACACGGATTTATTTCCACTTATAATCCGGATTGTTGGTATTTTGTATAGTATCGGAGGTGTAAGGAGAGGGGAGGAGGCGTGGAGAGGGGAGGCGTGAAGAGAGGGGAGAGGCGTGAAGAGAGGGGAGGAGGCGTGAAGAGAGGGGAGGCGGAAGAGAGGGGAGGAGGTGAAGGAGGGGGAGGAGGCGGAAGAGGGGGGAAGAGAGGGGAGGCGTGAAGAGAGGGAGGAGGCGTAAGAGAGGGGAGGAGGAGGAGTGGGGAGGAAGCATGAGGAGAGTCGAGAGGTGTGTGTGTGTGTGTGTGTGGAGTGAGTGAGGTGTGTGTGTGTGGGGTGAGTGGAGGAGTGTGTGTGTGTGTTCTGTGTGTGTGTGTGTGTGTGTGTGTACAACCTATCACTCACCTTAACATATACATTTTTTATACAGGTCATCAATATTCATACAACAATCTCCAACTGGCCCCGAACTACCATTCCTTCATCTACCTTCCTTCCTTCCTTCATCTACCTTCCTTCCTTCCTTCATCTACCTTCCTTCCTTCTTCTCTTCATCTACCTTCCTTCCTTCCTTCATCTACCTTCCTTCTTTCTTCAATCATCTACCTTCCTTCCTTCCTTCATCTACCTTCCTTCTTTCCTTCAATCATCTACCTTCCTTCCTCCGGCAAAGGAGGCCTCAATTAACTATTCTACTCTGTACAAACGCTTCCGTTGTTCAACATTTTTCCGTAACTTTGTATCAATTATCTCATTTACATAAATTTACGAAAAATTAAAAAATTCCTTACCATCATCAGGCTAATGTGTGTGTGTGTGTGTGGTGTGTGTGTGTGTGTGGTGTGTGTGTGTGGTGTGTGTGTGGTGTGTGTGTGTGTGGTGTGTGTTCCCTGACAACCTGACGTCAACTGCTTTCTCAATGACGTAACTCATGAGCTCCTGACATCGCTACTAATTACTGACGTCACTGATCATCTGACGTCACCATTGATCGTCTGACGTTATTAGTAAGTTGCTGACGTCATTACTAATTTACTGACGTAAATAATGATGTGCTTTACAATTCATCTGACTTCATTTATGATTACTGATAACTCTAATAAGCTGCTATCGTTACCAATGACCTGCTGACGTCACCACTGACCTCGACAGATCCACCAATAAAATAAACTGTTGTAATATTTAAAATATCTGGACGGTCTGGCTGGAATTTCAATTAATTTTGTTTTGTTTGTCAAAAATGAACTCTGAGGACCACCAGTGTGAATATTATGTGTCGGCGGCCATCTTTGTTGTTGACAGTAGCGGCCATCTTTGTTGTTGACAGTGGTGGCCATCTTTGTTGTTGACAGTAGCGGACATCTTTGTTGTCGACAGTGGCGGCCATCTTTATTGAGTGGCGGCCATCTCTGTTGTTGTGACAGTGGCGGCCATCTCTGCTGTTGACAGTGGCGGCCATCTCTGCTGTTGACAGTGGCGGCCATCTCTGTTGTTGACAGTGGCGGCCATCTCTGTTGTTGACAGTGGCGGCCATCTTGTTGTTGACAGGCGACATCTTTGTTGTCGACAGTGGCGGCCATATTTTTTGTTGGTAGTGGCAGCCGTCTTTGTTGTTGACAGTGGCGGCCATCTTTTTTATTGAGTGGCGGCCATCTCTTGTTGACATGGCGGCCATCTCTGCTGTTGACAGTGGCGGCCATCTCTGTTGTTGACAGTGGCGGCCATCTCTGTTGTTGACAGTGCGGCCATCTCTGTTGTTGACAGTGGCGGCCATCTCTGCTGTTGACAGTGGCGGCCATCTCTGTTGTTGACAGTGGCGGCCATCTTTTATTGAGTGGCGGCCATCTCTGTTGTTGACAGTGGCGGCCATCTCTGTTGACAGTGGCGGCCATCTCTGTTGTTGACAGTGGCGGCCATCTCTGCTGTTGACAGTGGCGGCCATCCTGTTGTTGACAGGCAGCCATCTCTGCTGTTGACAGTGGCGGCCATCTCTGTTGTTGACAGTGGCCATCTCTGTTGTTGACAGTGGCGGCCATCTCTGCTGTTGACAGTGGCGGCCATCTCTGTTGTTGACAGTGGCGGCCATCTCTGCTGTTGACAGTGGCAGCCATCTCTGCTGTTGACAGTGGCGGCCATCTCTGTTGTTGACAGTGGCGGCCATCTCTGTTGTTGACAGTGGCGCCATCTCTGTTGTTGACAGTGGCGGCCATCTCTGTTGTTGACAGTGGCGGCCATCCTGTTGTTGACAGGCGCCATCGTTTGACAGTGGCGGCCATCTCTGCTGTTGACAGTGGCGGCCATCTCTGTTGTTGACAGTGGCAGCCATCTCTGCTGTTGACAGTGGCGCCATCTCTGTTGTTGACAGTGGCGGCCATCTCTGCTGTTGACAGTGGCGGCCATCTCTGCTGTTGACAGTGGCGGCCATCTCTGTTGTTGACAGTGGCGGCCATCTCTGCTGTTGACAGTGGCAGCCATCTCTGCTGTTGACAGTGGCGGCCATCTCTGGTTGGTGGCGGCCATCTTTGTTATTGAGTGGCGGCCATCTCTGTTGTTGACAGTGGCGGCCATCTCTGTTGTTGACAGTGGCGGCCATCTCTGTTGTTGACAGTGGCGGCCATCTCTGTTGTTGACAGTGGCGGCCATCTCTGCTGCTGACAGTGGCGGCCATCTCTGTTGTTGACAGTGCGCCACCATGGGCGGCCATCCTGTTGTTGACAGTGGCGGCCATCTCTGTTGTTGACAGTGGCGGCCATCTCTGCTGTTGACAGTGGCGCCATTCTGTTGTTGACAGTGGCGGCCATCTCTGCTGTTGACAGTGGCAGCCATCTCGCTGTTGACAGTGGGGCCATCTCTGTTGTTGACAGTGGCGGCCATCTCTGCTGTTGACAGTGGCGGCCATCTCTGTTGTTGACAGTGGCCATCTCTGTGTTGACAGTGGCGGCCATCTCTGCGTTGACAGTGGCGGCCATCTCGCTGTTGACAGTGGCGGCCATCTCTGTTGTTGACAGTGGCGGCCATCTCTGTTGTTGACAGTGGCGGCCATCTCTGTTGTTGACAGTGGCGCCATCTCTGTTGTTATTGCGGCCATCTCTGCTGTTGACAGTGGCGGCCATCTCTGCTGTTGACAGTGGCGGCCATCTCTGTTGTTGACAGTGGCGGCCATCTTTTTTATGGCACATCTCTGTTGTTGACAGTGGCGGCCATCTCTGTTGTTGACAGTGGCGGCCATCTCTGTTGTTGACAGTGGCGGCCATCTCTGTTGTTGACAGTGGCGGCCATCTCTGTTGTTGACAGTGGCGGCCATCTCTGCTGTTGACAGTGGCGGCCATCTCTGTTGACAGTGGCAGCCATCTCTGTTGTTGACAGTGGCGGCCATCTCTGTTGTTGACAGTGGCGGCCATCTCTGCTGTTGACAGTGGCGGCCATCTCTGCTGTTGACAGTGGCGGCCATCTCTGCTGTTGACAGTGGCGGCCATCTCTGTTGTTGACAGTGGCGGCCATCTTTGTTGTTGACAGTGGCGGCCATATTTGTTGCGGGTTAAACACACACACACACTCAACAATAATCTCAACATAATTGGACGACGACTCACAACAACAACAACAACAATATCGACTACAACAATAAATATTTTTATGCCAAAAACTATTATTACTCTAATGACCAATTTGTGGCACCAATTACACAAGATCCGCGGTCTTAGTGCGGTCACTAGGCTCTTATGTACTGCGTGTGTGTAATAATTAATAATAATAATAATAATAATAATTAACGGTTTATTGAAAAAGTTCTGTATGTGTGTGTGTGTGTGTGTGTGTGTGTGTGGGTGAGATCAAACTAATTCTGAAGGTGTTCGTTTGGTCTTGGGGGGGTTCCTCAACAGGTGTAGATGAAGCCCTAGAAGCCTCAAGGTGTCTACGAAGCCCTTACGTCTTGAAGGAGTCTAAGAAATATATCGGGAATTCTTATTTAGTCTCAAGGAATTCACAAGACTCCCCACGGAGCCTCACCCTACTCCATGGAATCCTTCTTCGGTGCTGCAGGACACCATCAGTGTGTTTCTGGTATCCTCATATAGAGTTCCCGGGAGTCTTCAGCACCCTCGACTATCATCTGAAGGATTTTTTAGAGCCTTCGATGTCCTCCCGCCAGAGAGAATGGCAAGATTTATTTATTTCGACAAAATCCCCGCCAACACGAGTCTGGGTCGAGGTCCTACAGTCTTGTTAGGATAAGGTAGGATTAGGGTAACGTTAGGCGAGTGTCAGGGTAAGATCCTCCCAGGCGTCCCTAACCCTGATAATCACCCCCCCCCGCGGTCCTACCCTCCACCCCTGACCCACCCGCCCCTCCTAACCACCGACCCAAGATTTGGCGTGAGTCACTCAGGTCCTTACCAGACGTCCTGTATATCCCTGTAATCCCACTTACGAAGAAATGTCCCGAAATCCTTCCCAGGACTCCCAGAGTTCTCCAGTAACCTTTTAAAGGATCGGAGTTTCTGAAAAATCCTTGAAGGGCTTGGCAAAGCGTCTGTAAAATAGTTTAAAGGATTTGCTTTTCTCAAAAGTTCTTTACGGGGTCCTACGGTTCCTTCAGTAAAAGTGATCTGTTGATGTTTGCCGAAAGTCCTACATAGAAGGCGTTGGCATCCGTAAGCTTATCCTTGTCATGTAGATAGGATTCTCCCTGAGGCCCGACAGGACACTCCCTCACCATGTAACCAGGTAGGACTCCCCACCATAAGACCAGGTAGGACTCCCCACCATAAGACCAGGTAGGACTCCCCCACCATAAAGACCAGGTAGGACTCCCCACCATAAGACCAGGTAGACTCCCCACCATAAGACCAGGGACCCCACCATAAACCAGGTAGGACTCCCACCATAAGAGTAGGACTCCCCAAAGACAGGACTCCCCACCATAACCAAACCAGGTAGGACTCCCACCATAAGACCAGGACTCCCCACCATAGACCAGGTAGGACTCCCCACCATAAGACCAGGTAGGACTCCACCATAAGACCAGGTAGGACTCCCCACCATAAGACCAGGTAGGACTCCCCACCATAAGACCAGGTAGGACTCCCCACCATAAGACCAGGTAGGACTCCCCACCATAAGACCAGGTAGGACTCCCCACCATAAGGCCAGGTAGGACTCCTCCATCATAAGGCCAGGTAGGACTCCCCCACCATAAGACCAGGTAGGACTCCCACCATAAGACCAGGTAGGACTCCCCATCATAAGGCCAGGTAGGACTCCCCCCACCATAAGGCCAGCTAGACTACCCCACCATAAGGCCAACTAGGACTCCCCACCACAAGGCCAGGTAGGACTCCTGTGAGGACCCTGCTCACAGAGTTCCTCTTGGATAGAAACTGGCGACACGGCCCTCTAGATGCATTAAAAGTTGAGGATTTACTGAGAATACTGACACTGTTAAGAAATAACCTACGATAAATATTTTTCCTCGTAACTAACACCATCTAACTGACTCATTTTAGCCACTACAAATTCTTCAACATACTTATGGTAATTTTTCCTCCTAACTAAAGACAAAAGAAAACATCTAAATCCGCCCCAACTACGACAAAAAAGATGGATTCTCAAAAACACTGAAAGTTATTTTTCCTCGTAACTATAAATTTAAGAACACGTCTAATTCACTTAAGCTACGACACAAACACAGATTCTCAAAGGCACTTCAGATAATTTTTCCTCTTAAACAGAGAGGAGGGAAAGAGTGTTATGGCCGCACTTAAGCTACAACACAGATATATGTTGGAATGGCCCCAAAATTGCACAGAGACTACACAGGGAGTGGGGATCATGGAGTACACAGGGAGTGGGGATCATGGAGTACACAGGGAGTGGGGATCATGGACTACACAGGGAGTGGGGACTATGGATCACAGGGGGGGGATCATGGAGTACACAGGAGGGGGATCATGGACTACACAGGAGTGGGGATCATGGACAACACAGGAGGGGGATCATGGACTACACAGGGAGTGGGGACCGTGGACTACACAGGAGTGGGGATCATGGACTACACAGGAGGGGGATCATGGACTACACAGGGAGTGGGGATCATGGACTACACAGGAGGGGGATCATGGACTACACAGGGAGTGGGAACAGAACATGGGAATGCCCTTTAAATTTAATTAAAAAGTGCATTGAATTTTAAGTCGTAATTTATACAGTGTGACGACTGTTGGCACGACCAGTCTACCAGTGGACCAGTCTACCAGTGGACCAGTCTACCAGTGGACCAGTCTACCAGTCTAGCAGGGGACCAGTCTATCAGTGACCAGTCTAGTAGCGGACCAGTCTACCAGTCTAGTAGTGGACCAGTCCACTAGTCCAGTAGCGGACCAGCTCACAGTCCAGCAGCGGGACCGCCTACCAGTCTAGTAGTGGACCAGTCTACAATTCAGTAGCGAACCAGTCTACCAGTCTAGTAGCGGACCAGTCTACCAGTCTAGTAGCGGACCAGTCTACCAGTCTAGTAGCGGACCAGTCTACCAGTCTAGCAGCGGACCAAGCCTACCAGTCTAGTAGTGACCAGTCTACCAGTCTAGTAGCGAAACAGTCGACCAATCTCACAGTTGACCAGCCTACCAGACCCTGGACTAAGGTGGTGGAGAACTGCAGAATAACAGAGCGCCGGGGACTAAAGAGAGCCCGGGGACTAAAGAGAGCTCCGGGACTAAAGAGAGCGCCGGGGACCAAAGGAGAGCGCCGGACTAAAGAGAGCGCCGGGGACAAAGAGAGCCTGGGGACTAAAGAGAGCGCCGGGACCAAAGAGAGCGCCGGGGACTAAAGGGCTCCGGGGACTAAAGAGAGTGCCAGGACTAAAGAGAGCTCCGGGGACTAAAGAGAGCGCTGGACTAAAGGAGCCCGGGACTAAAGAGAGCTCCGGGAATAAGAGAGTGCGACTAAAGAGAGCCCGGGGACTAAAGAGAGCCCGGGGACTAAAGATAGTTCTGGGGACTAAAGAGAGCTCCGGGGACCAAAGAGAGCTCCAGGGACTAAAGAGAGCCCGGGGTCTAAAGAGCTCCGGGGACTAAAGAGAGTTCTGGGGACTAAAGAGAGTGCCGGGGACTAAAGAGAGTGCCGGGACTGAAGAGAGCGCTGGGGACTAAAGGGAGCGCCGGGGACTAAAGGAGCTCCGGGGACAAGAGAGCCCGGGGAATAAAGAGGTGCTGGGGACTAAAGAGAGCTCCGGGGACTAAAGAGAGCTCCGGGGACTAAAGAGAGTTCTGGGGACTAAAGAGAGCCCAAAGAGAGCTCCGGGGACTAAAGAGAGCTCCGGACTAAAGAGAGCTCCAGGGACTCAAAGAGAGCTCCGGGTCTAAAGAGAGCCTCGGGGACCAAAGAGAGTTCTGGGACTAAAGAGAGCGCCGGGGACTAAAGAGAGCCGGGGACTAAAGAGAGCGCTGGAGACTAAAGAGAGCGCTGGGACTAAAGAGAGCGCCGGGGACTAAAGAGAGC